AATTTTTTTGCAATGTTATAATAGTAACAGCATACTAGATTTGATAACGTCTTGTCCACTGGCAAAGCATTTTGACCCAAATACTAATACAACCTTTCAGAGGACTTCATCAAGACATTATTATGTGAGCTAACTTCTGTCAAAAGGTCACAGAGTCAGGTCACTGGGATCCCCAGCAGAGACAAAAATGTTTTTTTGTGGAGCAAATGACTGCAGTCATTTGTCAGGTGTGTACAAAGAGCTCAAGACAGCAAACTTCCCGTTGTTCCTTTTTACTGTTTCATTTTCAGTCACTTCATTTTCTTTCAACCTGACCCTGGTTGGGTCCATTTCACGATGTGCGTTAAAATCAGAAAGATGCAATGACAAACCAGTAAACAAAAAGTCCAGTTTCTGAGGGGCAATGAAGGTGTATGAAGAAGCCAGTGCTCTGTACAACATGATCATCAATCTAAAATCCAAACAGCACAATACAATACAATAACCTTTTCTCTTTTGTTTACCACCACTTTAATTTATAAAGATGTGAAGATGCCTTTTGTGAGGGGATAGAGGATGTGAGAGAGAAAAACAATCGCGGAAGAACTTATAGAACCCCCAAATGTTAAAAACACTTTATTTTATGTTAAACCTCAAATACTGAAAGGAGGTAGTTGAGGCACATAATGTACAAGTGAAGAAAAATGTCAATTCTACCACTGATTTCCTTATAAAAAAAAACAACAACTCCCTTTTGTTTTGAAAGAAGACAACACTCAGTTTGCTCTAGTACCTCATCACACACTGACCTAAAAAAGCTTTCACATTCATTCTCACCAAAATGATCAAACTCTTAAAATTGCATCAAAATGAAGTAAGACTAAGACAGTAACAGTGCCGCGGAATGTCCAATGTGAATCAGAGTTGTAAACAAAAAAGATGCTAAAGATAAATCTTGTTTATGTTAAAACTGTTAAACATTAAGAGAAGGAATGTAAAAAAACAAACAAACAGGGATGTTCAAGATCAGATGTCACAGTAGCAGCTGTCAGTGCATGGCATCACAAGAAAAATGTTCCGGCTTGCTGTGAGATGACATCTGTGTAACAGTCGCCTCCTTTACGGCCCCGATTCAAACCTTATATTTCACCTTCGCACTTTCGCTGATCACGCAGATATGCTAAAAAATTGAGGAAAAAAACAAAAGGAAAAATGGAGAATGAGAGAAAATTCTACAACATTCAATACAAAACACATATTAATTTAGTGCATGTAATGACATTCAGTGCTCTCAGAAACTCATTTTGAGCTCTTCCTCTAAAAAACTGCTATCAGACATGCACTTTCCTGAATTTTATTATAGGGGCTATATGTGAGAACAAAAACGTCTCAGCCAGTTGCTGCAGATATTTTCCGGAACCTTTCTCATTAGCCCCTAAGTAAAATGTCAGTTTAATTCACAACGAGTGAGTGGATGTGTTGAAGACATTTCTATCAAATATCTTAGGATTAAAAAGAGGTGCCATACATGTAGAAAACACTGACAAAGATTAAAGATTGGGGGGAAAAAACGGAATGTCCTGAACATCTTCCCCTTGATGCAAATGTGTATGATGCGGATAATCTCCTGCTGAGTTTTTTATATGTGAAAGACAAAGTCTGGACCCAATTTGTCCTAGTTCAAATCTGAAAGCAGCTTCACAGAGTCACTGGTGTCTTGAGTCGAAAAGGCACAGACTTACATTGAGGTCTCTAAAATACTCATTGTAGTCTAAGGCATAGCCGACCACAAAACGATTGGGGATCTCGAAGCCGACATCTGAAATCAGACAAAGACTGACATTAATTGCAAGTACTTGCACAGCTGACTGACTCATTGACCGACAAACTGCGACAATCATTTTTCAATGTGAAAGAAGAACTGACTCATAAACACATGAAAGGTTTGGTAAAGTACATACAGTCAGGAAGACATGCTGAGTTGAATGGCACTCTCTTCACAAGCAATCTGGGGGAAATAAAAGCAGACATTATCATATGATAACCTCCCCTGCCTGTTGTGCTTTGTGTCAAAAGCCTGTATTAATTTTAAAACAGTGGCACCTAAGACCTGCATTCTCCTCTCTTTGTCTCTCTTTCTCTGTCTAGGCCAGAGGGCGAATTCAAGTGATTCACATAGCAGGAAACTTTTTTTTTTTTTATATGTCTTCCCGGCCTCAACCTTACCCTGCTACTTTGATCAATTTGGGCCTGAAGGCTTCAACGTGCTCCAGGAGAGTTTTCATTGTCTTTCCAGTGCCTACAATGGCCTGTGAGGGAGAGATAGAGAAATTGGATTGAGAAAGCAAGTTGACAAGAAACAGACTTACCTCACACTGAACCACAAAAAAAGAGGAAGATGATCACACTGTACTCATTAAATAACTATTTATGAGAATTCTAAAAAAAAATGTAACCTGCGTCAAAAAAAGGGAAGTAATACTAATACTAAGAGCCTCTGACTTCTTGCAGAGGGAAGAAGTGATGTTGTGGTGGAATGAAACCACAGAGGTATGCTTTGTCAGCCTTTGATGTGTAGATGTAGGTCAACTTGCCCGACATGGAGAGTGGATGGCCCTTAACATTTTTCAATGGGGAATGGATACAGCGTTAAATTAGGTTTAATTTGCCTTTGAGTTTCAGTGTTGTTCGAAATCATTTTTTAGACTTATGTATGGAGCTTTACCATTTTGTTATAGATTTGATATTCTCAACAAGAATGTGGCCACATGCGTCCAGACAGTGATTTGAGTGATCAGATCTCGTCTGCATTTGCGTTTAAACGTTTACTTAGCGTTGACCCAGTGTGATTAAATCAATGAAGATGGACGTAAAGTAATAAGCTCCACTTATGACTTTATGTTTAAATGACCATTGTTACCAGGATAACGCAAAAACGATTGAACTGATTTTCTTGAACCTTGGAGGAAGAACTACCTAACTTTTGGAGTGGATTGCTTTAACATTGTGACATAGGATGTGCTAATCTTAGCTGAGGCTCCTGCTCTCCAAGGGTCATTGTAGTTATTCATTTGCTTGAAATTGCCAGAAATTTCCATTTGTCATAGTGACAGCAAGAACATTCTCACAAATGTTTGAGCGCTGACTAATGCCACTCTTCCTCTGAGCACCTCTTCCCACTACAGGACTAAATGATTGCACTAACCAGGAAGGTTCATGAAAAACAGCGCTACCATTTCTCAAATATAGGTCAGTCAATTAAAAATGTCCTCATGTTGAACTCAGGTCCAGAGGAAGAAGAAGCAACAACAAACTTTAAATTGCTCCCCTTGACCTGGATGAGCAACCTCGCCATGAAATACACTAGGCCCATTTGGTTGAATAGGAAAACTAGAGAAGCAAAAAAATATGTTTGACTCACCTCCACAATCAGTACGTTCTTATGAGAGTGTGTTGGGGAGGGAAGGGGGGAGAAGAAAGCAGTTATTCTTGGTTGGAAACAGATAACAAAGCTTCAGTGTTGTCTGTTAGACTTCAAATACATATTATAGATTGTGCACAGATGAATGTAAAAAATAAAAGCTCGTCCATGGTGTCAATAGAAACAGACTATACACTTTAAGTAAAGACAAAAGTGCAGAATACTTTTTTTTTAAATACAGATCAACATATCCTGCGAGAAGAAAATCGAAAAATAATTTTGGAGGTATGTTAAGGGAGGAAGAGGAAACATGCTATCAACTGAGCCATATTTATTATAGCAAGAGCTTTATCAGCAAGACTTTTATTACATTCAGTTATATCAGTGATTACGCAGGGAAGTGAACAAAGCAGATAAAAACATCAACCTCATCCAGACTAGAAATCTGTGTTCCTTCATTCCTGCATAGAATGTCACACTGGAATAGCTGAGATTCTGCAAATGTTTGTGAAATCAACAGGAGACAACTGGGCACTATTTATATGAGGAGTCGTAATCTGCCCTCCACTTCAGAGTAGACGGGTAGTGTAAAACTTACTGCTCTGTAACTGTATGGAGTTTACTCTACTTTTCAAACAATGGACTCATCCAAGCGTGTGGTCATGCTTTTGTTTAGTCCCAATTATTCATACACATTTATTTAGAGGGCAGGAAACCCAGGAGAAATGTGAAGGTCTGTCTGTGTCTTTATTTCCTTGACAACCACTCAACTTCAAACTTCCTGTGTGTATTTCTGAGAAGTTTCTTTGGATGAGCTAATTTCCAGAAAATACACAGACATAAGTTCCTCCGCTTAATTTCCTCACCCAACAAGGTTTTGTTTTCCCATTTGTTTGTTTGTTAACGCCATTACACAAAAAGATAGATGGAAGGATGCATATGGGTCAGGGAAAACCCTATTCAGTTTTGGTGTGGATTTGGATCAGCGATGATCCAGGAATTTTCAAAAACCTTTTTAAAGGTCCAGTGTGTAAGATTTAGGTGAAAGGGTACTATTGGCAGAAATTTAATGTAGAGGAATCCTCATGATGTTTTCACTAGTTCGTTTCATCTAAATTGTATGAATTGTAGTTTTCCTTACACCAGAAAAGGCCCTTTATATTCAAATACTTTATATTTACATCGAGGGCACCCTCTCTACGGAGGCCGCCATGTTTTTCACATTAGTCCAGACTGGACAAACTAAACACCTTTTGAGTTTTTATGACAATAAAAGGCTACCACAGGTTCTTTTTCATGTTTAGAAGGAGAGGGTGAGGGGTGTTCAACATGTAATTTTAACACTAGATATCATGAAATTCTACACACTGTACCTTTAACATCGCGCGACAGGGCGTTACACTCAAGCCTGACAGGTGCTGTGCTAGTAAATTAAAGTCCTTGAAAGAGAAAGCCACTGTCTGTTGACTGCACAGCAGCGAAGCAAATGCATTACATGAACCAAATATATTCCTTGTCACACAATAATTCACTTCTTCCAGCAAAACATTGAAACATTCAGTTACTAACAGGGAGCTAAATTTAGATGTACATCACAGGGAGCTCAGAGATTTCACACAAACATGTGAAATACTGAGTGGAAAAGCAGCCAACAATGACTCAAGCTCCCTGCCTCATATCCTATTCATGTTTCAGGCATCTATGCCACGCCTGGCTACAGGGCGTATGACTGCGTGAATGTGAGTGTGTTTGACTCAGCACTTTGTGTGTGTATGTGATTGTATCTTCTGCTGATTTATATGACCTGGAAATACACTCACTGACTTATGGCTCCTGTAGTAGCAGAGTAATTCATTCCAGTGTGCACACATAAACACACACATAAATGCACATACACACAGATGTGTGGAGAGAAAAAAATCCGCACTTGGCAAACAGGCTGCAAATAGACACACTCTCACTGATGCAGTTTTGCATAATATCTCTTCACTCGATGAAGACACATCTAATGCTAGCCCAGTTGTATGTGACAGTCATACTCAGAAGAATGTGTACTATGTGCAAAGGCTGCTGTTGTTTACCCTTCATTTTTTTAGTTATTATATTATTTGCTTGGTAGTTTGCAGGACGAAATTTTGTTCAAGGAAGAACACATGTTGGTCCAAATCTGAATCAGGGGGCGGAGCTCAGATTAATTTTTCCCACTTTCTTTAACATTGTGAGATAGGTTTTTCTGTTTTTCAACATTTTGTTGTGAATCCTGATAAAAAAAAAATAATCAGGCATGTTTAGGGGACTGATATTTACAGATCTTGGTAATTTGGTGCATATCCAAATAACAATTTACATCTAAAATACATTTTTATTGTGACTCCTTAAAACAAAAAGTCTCCTCTCTACTCCACCTTGTCACAGGGTATATATCCAGCTCATATGCACAAACGTTTCAGTTCAGTGAGGCACTGATGTTGATTTGATGATACCAAGACAGGCTGTTGAGCAGTGAGCCTGTAACAACGACAGTCACTCAGTATATCCTACCATTTAAACAGATTTTACAATTTGCCTCCACTTTGATAAAGTTGGGAAGTTATTAACAATCAAATGAGGACGTTTGGTATCTGATCACCGCTGCGTTCGTCTTTGAGCTCCACTGAGGAAGCATGTCATCAGCATTGAGAGGGGGGCTGGCAGATGAGAGGGAAGGCTGCCCTCTTGAGGTTGCCATCTATCTGTACCCTCCATCTCTGAGCTATTTGTGTGTGATAGTTTTAAAGTAAAAAAACTCATGATGAGGTTTTATTGGACTACATGTAGCAGTTTCCAGTGATGCAGATAAGAAGATTATTACCTTTCCAGCCAAAAAAGACAAGTCCTCTGCTCCGACTATGTGAAGATCCTCTGTCGACTGGTCGTTCTGTGAAAACAATGATCCAAGAGAAACGTTTTAATTTTCTACTTAATGTTTAAAAAAGGATTTGACACAGTTGCAATAATTCAAACTACAGAAACACATTCCAGATTTAAAACAAGTGTTTCCTTCTTTAAAACATCATCTCCTACAGATTATTATTTGATGAGACCACATTATTTTACTTTTCAAAAAGGTCAAAACTTTTATGTGAATCTTCCGTTAATATGAAAGAAACTATGCATTTCAGGTCAAACAGTATTTTACAGGCACATGATAATCAGATACTATCGTCAGCGTGCTCATTTCAAAGTCTGTGGTATTTTTCTCCTTTGCTGTGGCAACACCATGACTGCACATGTGGGCCAAAGTAACACAAAGACAGTGCTATCATTATGTTGTATAAAATATAAGTCACACATCTTCTGACTAAGTCTTGGGACTCATGAGCCATTTTCAGAAGTGATCTTTTTCCGCTGAAGAAATCCTGTCTTGTTTACAGCAAATTGACACCAGCATCAGGCCTCATCATCAAATGACCTTAAATCTTATCTTTCCATGCTGACATCCTCGTCTGTCTTCTATGTGTGTGGCACCTCTTTTTCATATATTTATATTCTTTTAGTTTTTCCAATGGGCCCACTCACTCGTGATGCATTCCCCGGACATTATCCTGCTGTACTCTCACACTGGCTCTCAGACATTATCAGGAGTTACATTCTCACAAAAAGCCACTCAAGATAATTTCAGGAGATTATCCAGAGTTCAGTGCATGTACGAAAGCAGCTGTAGTGACCGAGTACTTAAGAAAACAGAGGCTCACCAGGTAGCTCTTGAGTCGGATGAAGTGGACCCTCATTGGGATTGTTCTACTGGAGTTGCGGCTGAGAGCCTTGATCCTTTCCACCAGGTCAGCGCAGAACTGGTATCCTCCTTTGAGCACGCACAGCACCACGATGTCATGGTCTCCCAGGTCGTCCATGATGTTTCGAGCGAGGCGTTCTGTCCTGTGAACAATAGGAAATAATACATTTCATCTTTTAACTGTACTCGGTCCGTCCAGGACAATAAATGATGTCTACATCTAAAATAAAGTAAACAATGATAGTTTCTACTATTTTTTCATTTTTAGTTTACTACAAATAGCTGAAGAATTACTTGTTACCACTGCTGCATGGCAAAATTCCACTTTCAATAAAATAATATTATCATGTGAATGTTCTGTGTTGTTTTACACAGTAATGTAGGGAATGATTCTGAGTAGACCTGCAAAAAAAGTTAAATAAGCACCTTTTCTGACTCCTTGATCATCATTTTGTCTTTCAACATAATATTAATCCTATTATTTCATCAATTGTAATATAACAAAGGTTCGATTCATATCAATAACATTCTCGTGCATTGTGTAAGCTGAGTGAGGAGGCATTACACATAATTAATTTGTAAAATGTTTTGCTGTTTATCAAGTGTTTTTATCTTGATGTAGTTTTTTACCACATCACCCTGCCTTGAAATGCATTATGGGAAAACAGCTCACTGCATTGGATCATGTGTGATTTTGCAAACGTCTGTCAGATCGTGACAGGTCACTATAGTATTAATATTAACAGTATTATATATTCCAGTGTTGACACCAAGCCCTTTACTGCACTTGATTGAATTTCAATATTGTCTTTCACTGAGTAATTTGATAGAGATCATGATTAAATCTAATTTACATGATCATTTCTACGACTGTTCTACTATCATAATTACATTCATTACAAGGGACAGTGTGTCAGAACAGTCATAATGTTTTATAATCATCTGTTTGTGAGATGTTGTTTATATTGTGGGGTTGTTAAAGCTTTGCAGTGATGGTTTTTATAGTTTTACAGAGGAAAACCACAGTTATGAGGGTTTAAACCACACCATTGAGTCTGGAACACTTAACATCCCATAAATCTGCTCACAATCTCTCAGATGTGCCAAAAAACAAAACGCAGAAACATCTGGAAAGCACAGGCAGGGTTTCTTTTGGATGGTAAAGAGTCTTTATCAGTTTAGTGTGGGTTATACCTGTCCATTATGACGCCATGTGGAATGATGACACAGTCTAAATCTCCAGAGTAGTGAGCCGGATAACTGAAGAGGTCTAAACTGTAGCCTGGCCAGTCATCGCTAATCTGAGGGGAGGGAAGAGATGCAAACGTTACTTTAAACTGTGTTCTTTGATTGCGTAAAAGCGGGAAAACAGCAGGTTCGACTTTTTAAAAAAACTAATTGCAGGATTATTCTCCAAATCCATCGCATCGAGGCGGTGCGTAAAGTTGCGCAGCCAAAAAAGTAAAACTCCTGCGCCTCCACCAACAAGTAAACTTCTGTCTGCGCAGTTGGACACATGTGCAGCAAATTTCTCTGCCTAATGAATTGAATTACCACGATCCCGTCGCTTCCTCCGTCGGATTGGCCAGAGAGGTCTGCCATGTTGTTTTCCACCGACACGACAGAAAGGCTCGTACCAAAGGAAAAGTGGTGGAAGGAGAAGAAGGGGTTGGTTAGCACAGTGCAAAGAGAGGAGGAGCATCGTATCCATGAGCCTTTCATGCTGCTGGCATTCAATGCAACTTCTGCGTCCACTGGGGGCGCTCTAACACAGCAATAAACCATCCCTTTTACTTTTTTTAAATCAACTACAAGTGTGCCATAAACAATAAAAGCACGTCCCAACTGAAATGATGCATGCAACAAGACGGAGCTAGGAAGGCACAGAAAAGAAAAACAACAAGAAGTTCAGTAGAGTACATAGGCCCAACAGTCCTCTTATGAAACCACATTTAAATTCACAACATCCAGATTTTAAATTGGATCTGCACCAAATTGCATCTGTTCTCTAAATATGTCAGATTTGTTTGCATCAAGATCCATGAATTATTTGGTGAAATTGGTGAAAATGTTAGAAAAAAATAAAAATGCCCAATTTTGCTATGTTATTTTTAACAAGAGAAACAAATGCATACGAAACATAAGCAGAGGTAACAATAAAGGCATTAATAATCAAAATGTTAGATAAAAAATATCACCAAGACTGAGCGACTGGTAACAATAGGAAGATTCAAGGTATATAATGCAACACACACAAAACATAAAGAAAAAACAAATGGACAAAGTGGTCTGGAACTAAAGCGCAAAGATAATCGTGACAATTTTAATAAGTATGATTTGTTTCATACATATTTTCATAAGATAATTAAATTACTTTTCCCATGCTCATCCCTCTGCACCTATATGCTCTGCACAAAGCCGCCCCCATCTTAACTTAATGGATACCTGGGGCCCACTAAGGATAATTGATCCTATCTCTATAACAACACATCTTATTTGAGAACAGGATATTTGTTCTTGCGTAATTTGTTTTTACAGACGTCAGTCAGTCATCTTGTTCAGCTGTGTTTTTGAAAGATACGAACTTGTACCAAATTGTGAGAATCAGATGTATCATCATTATCATGAACTCAAACACACGGAAAGAAACAGGAAAGTAAAGCAGAGTGATTATGCTTTGATTGAAAAAGCAGAACAAAACCAGACTAGTTTTCCTTCTGTGCCAATGAAAGTTTGCTTTGCTGCAATCACAGAATTCCCTTTAGCCAATAATTTCCTCTTTAATTTAAATTCCACCTTTAACCATGTGGGTAAACTGAAGGTTTTCAACAAATATGTTAACATCGCCATCTAGTGGAGAGAGGCAAACACTTCTGGCCTGTGCACTGCTTTTGTTCTTGTGAAATCATTGTGTTTGCATCCTTATTTATATATTTTCTTGGACTCTCTCAAATGTTGTCATGCTGTTCAAAACTGGAGACAAATAGACTTGCAGGCCTGTCATTTAAGAGATGACACACCCAGTTTCACATGCACATTAAAATCTGTGTTTGAGTGACAGTGTGTGAACAAGTGAATTCTAGATGAACCACCCAGGGACTGGTGTGGTCAGTCCGGCCGGCAGCAGCAGCAGCAGCAGCAGGGTCTGGGCTGTCGTGTCACTGCACATTAGAGCAGTCTGCCGGGCTCTGTTGAGAGGGGGAGACAAGGTGTCTGGGCCTCCCACCCCTGCTCCTCCACGGCAGCTGTAATTACAAACAGTGGTACAATGACAGCTGGGGAGGCAGATGTCAACAGCAACATTAGATTTCAATAAGCCTGCACAGTGCCATCACCTCAGAGGAACAAGGAGGTGTCATAACCACACTCTGTGATTTTTTTTCTTTCTCGCTGAAAGCAGCTATCATGGCCATCATTCCCCGTACAACTTATTTCAAAAGCTGTTTTTGTTTCGCATGATAGTGCAGCAGGCTTGATGATCACCGAGCAGTGCCGCTCAGGCCAGAAGATGTTTTCAGATGAAGTCCTGTCAGATTCTTTTTGATGCCGTCTCTGCTGGCGAGAGCAGACTGGCTCTTTCGCTGCCCTCGGGGTGCAGGGGGAAGCAGTCTAGCTTTGGCATTTCACACTCGCTCAACAGTCAAGGCCTGTGAACGTCCACAGACTTTACCGCCAACTGCTTCCTTACACCCTCGTCCCTGTTGTTTGGCCAATTATGAATATTCAGTTGCCATGAAAGTAATTCTGTCAGACATGCAACTGTCCGGCCAGATAATGTCAGCGGTGTTGTTTGCAGTATTTGAGGGGAGAAACTGGCAAGGACATGACCATTCGTCTCCTTCTGTATATTTGGGAGGAAAAATGCTTGAGAAATATGGAAAAAAAACAAAATAAATTGTTTTATCTTTCTTTCTTTTCTCCTCTTTGTATCTTGAATTATTCCTCTGTGTTGGATGGACATCCATTGTGGACTTAAAATTAAAAACGCAACACTAAGCCACACTGTCACATTGGGTGACATGTTCCTTCATTACCAAGAATATGCAACATCTTGCTGCCACCAAAACTCACAGACTGTTAGTGCGTTTGAGTAATAGTTAAGAACTTGGTGGAAAGAGGAGGTACAGGTCTGGAAAAAAAACATACATTTTGGTGCAGATTGATTGAATTTAAGCTGTTGGGCCTTGGAGGAGGCATGTGTGCTCTACTGAATGTCAGTCTAGCTGAAATTATTAAGTGTGGGTATTCTGTAAAACTAAAATTATTAAGTGTGGGTATTCTGTAAAACTGGTCTTGCATTGTGGCATGTTTTGCTAAATTAAATTATTAAGAATATGTAAAGAAACGGCCTCCATTTCAGACAGAGGTCTTTTTTTCTCTTCAAGTGATGGTGATGTTGTTGAAAAGCCATGTCCTGTTTACTGAACATGATTTTAACATGGTGTGCATCAGGGGCAGAACCAGGGGTGGGGACAGGGGGCCACAGGCCCTGACTGAAATCTGACTGGCCCCTGAACTGTCCCTGTCCCTCAAGTTCACAATGTGCTTGAACAAGGAACGATTTTTTAAATGTATTCAATGATATGTGGCTTTGCTCAAAGCTATGGAGCTAACAGTAAACAGGGAATGACTTAAATGTGCACTTTACTGAATCAAGTGTTGAGCATGGATGTTGGACTTAATATTGGCACCTCTATTGTGGCCCCTTTATGGCCCCTGACCTTGAAAAATCCTAGACTGGTGTGCATGGACATGTCCTTGTACATATACACTGGTTCGCTGGACAGGAGCCAGTATGGAAGGGGCGGACTTGTAAAAGAAGGGATGTCTGTTGGCAGCCACTGACCTTTGTTGACTTTCAGTTATCACTACAGTGACGCTGAGTCTTTGCTCTCTCGTAAACCCCCACAATAAAAAACTGCTGATGTGTGGTCTCGCTGTATGACATATTGTTTTTAATGTGTTGAAAACCCTTTCCAACAAAGCAAGTCAAGCACAATGGTGCACATAAACACATGTTGAAAGTTCATGAGCTAATTCACGAGAGTAGGAAAGCAAAAAGTAATAGCCAACATTAAGCATAACAATAAAAAAAACAACAAAATACAAAAACAAGTAGGCCACACAACATAAAAAAGTGTCTATAAACAATGTTAGACTGCTCAGAAAACACATCATCCGACATTATGACTCGCCCCTTCTTTAGTGCTAAATGGTTAACATTTACAATCTTCATAAATGTCTGATACTGAAACAAAATCAGCCTGATAGTAGCGAGACAAGCAGCATGTCTACATTTGTTTTGGCGTCAGTTCTCGGGTTTCTAAAGTAGTACCAGCAGAGTAATATACTGATTCATGTGTAAATTAGCGCCAAGAAGAGGACACAATCCAAATTGTGTGAAAAAAAGGTGAAACACAACTAAATCTTTTCATCAGCGCCTCCTCAGCTGAGCTGCAGAACAGGTGTATCCAGATGTTTCTTGCAGGACGATGATCAGTGGCTCCAGACCTGCGCTGCGGATTCAGGAGCGAGGAATCACAGAGTAAGCGCGTATAACATAATCTCAAACTCTTATAACATAATGGCTTTGTGCTGAAACACAAACTCGGTTACAGACGTCCGTGACAGACTCTCTTCAGTGCAGGAAGCGATATATTTCTCTCAGGGGGACAGTATTGTTCACTCGATCGTAGCACCAAAGGTAAATTGAAGAAGATGGAGATTTGAATGAGAAGATAAAGAAATGAAGGTGTATACATGTGAGTAAATTATATATTCACACTGGCTTTATGTTGACAAACTTCTCTTGACGGTTTTGTTTTGGTTACGTCAGCAGTTTGGCATCATCAGAAACTTTTTACTGCAGCGGTGATTTTGGAAAACAATGATGGATTCAAGTAAAAAAAAATCCTCTTTTTCTCATTGCGTCAGAGAATTTGGCGACTGCCAAGATGCTGCAGAACCAAAAGCAACAGCGCCTAAATGAATGATGTCAAGCTTGTCCGATTTGATGACAAGTATTTCTTTATTGTTTTACAGATAACATACTTCACAGGGTTACCTTAGAGGTAAGATCTCTGCTTTGACTCGTCGGAGACAGAGGGGAAGATGAACATACTTTTTTTATCAAGCACACATTGTAAACAACTGAGCAATATTTAAGTCTAAATGGCGTACCATAGAATAGGTGAGAGACAACAAAATGTAAGTAAGAAGATGTGCCCCTTGCTTGCAAAGACAAAAGTTTCTTTTTACAAAACAAATAATGGTCACTGACAATTTTTTCTACTTTTTTTAAGTGGCTGAGAGGTAGAATGAAGTATTTTCAGTTAAAATCAATGATTTGATTTTCATTACTTAATCATATCATTTCATCATAATGAGTGAAAACATTACGAGTGAAGACGTAACCCCAGCCCTCTGAATATAATGTGAAATCTGTACAAATGTCTCCGTTGTCTGTGGCATTGTTTTCATTTTTATTGTGAAACGTTTGTCTGTATCCCAAATGTCCAACTTTATAAGCAGAGGAAATATTATTTGTTTGTTTTTTTGTCAGGTTTTCACAGTAACTCTCCAAACATTGAGATGTGAATTCCTTTGTTTAACACTGTGAATAGCAAGGTCAGTCCATGTTTGTTTTTTCTTGTGGATGAGGTGTAGAGATGGACATATTCAGTTGGAAGTATCCGAATGAACACTCCCGGGTCCTTCTGTGGGCGATGTCACTGACGAAGGAGTCGGAGCA